CACAAAAGCTTATGCCCAAATAAATTTGTTAGTCTCTAAGGTGCCACAAGTACTCCTGTTCTTTTTGCTGATGCAGACTAACACAGCTACCATTCTGAAACCTTTTGGGTCATGAAGTCCAGCCTCTGTGGTCGCAGGCAACACTATGGTGTGATCCTGTTCCTTAACCAAGCAAACTAATTATGACTAATTGGGGCAAAAGCACTACTGGGAGGCTGCTTCGGGTCCTCCCTCCTCTGAGGGCCAGAAACCTCATTCCCAGCAGGGTAAATTCATCCGCGGGCGGCCAGTTCCTAGCGATCCCTGCCTAGGCCGGCCCGACGCTCCCGCTTCGCTGGCTCGTCTTCCTGCAGGCGGGAGCGGGCAGCCCGCGAGCGACCTCCCCGGGGCCTGGCGGGGGAACTGGGCTGGGCGGGTTTGGGCCGGCCCTGCCCGCCCCCTGGCTCCGCAAGCGGAAGCTCCCGCGCCCCGCCCCCCGCGTGGCGTGGTGGTGGGCGGGGGAAGGCGGCGAGTCGGCGACCCCTGAGCGCCCGGCTGCCTGCTCCGTACTCGTTGGCCGGGCAGCCGGCCCCGCTGAGCGCGGAGGCGGCTGCCGGGCGCCATGGGGCCGGGCCCGGGGCCGGGGTGGCTGGCGGCCGGGCTGCTGGTGAACCTAGTCGCCTCCATCTGCATCGTGTTCCTGAACAAGTGGCTCTACGTGCGGCTCGGCTTCCCCAACCTGAGCCTCACGCTGGTGCACTTCGCCGCCACCTGGCTCGGCCTCGGCCTGTGCCAGGCGCTGCGCGTCTTCGCCCCCAAGAGCCTGCGGCCCCGCCAGGTGCTGCCCCTGGCGCTCAGCTTCTGCGGCTTCGTGGTGTTCACCAACCTGTCCCTGCAGAGCAACACCATCGGCACCTACCAGCTGGCCAAGGCCATGACCACGCCGGCCATCGTGGCCATCCAGAGCCTCTTCTACGGCAAGAGCTTCCCCCTGCGCATCAAACTGACCCTGGTGAGCGCCGGGCGCAGCGCAGCGCCCGTCCCCGCTTTCAGTCTGTCTGCCTCGGCCGCTGGGGGGCCGGATCGGGGAGCCCCCGGCGGGGGAGGGGGTGGATCGGGGAGCCCCCGGCGCGGGGAGGCAGCTTCCTGTGACTTTCCCCTCTCCCTCTTGCCCTTTGCCAAAGGGTTATTTCCCCCTTTCCAGGCACGTTACCGCCTGTGCCTTTGGCGCTCACTGACTTAATAAATCTGTTAGTTGAGTCACCAGGATTTCGATGGTTCTGTGGCTCCTTGGGCAGAAGTGCTGGGTTAATGGACATGCACCTTCTCTCGTGTGCTGGCGAGTGGGGTCGAGGTGCTGTTGCTTGTGTGGACTGCGGGGAAACCTCTGAAATAGCCAGTAATGAGCAAAACTTCACCACGTTCACCAAATGCTGCCACCCCATCTCTAGCTACTAGGGGCCTCAATGGACTCTTAACTCTTGTGGGTCAGTGTTAAGGCCTTCACGTTATTTTGATATTTTTTTCATACCATCAAGGGATTGTAGCAGTGTTATATGGGGCTTCTGTCCTGTTTACCAGCGCAGCATGGGAGAAAGTGCAAGTCAATCTTTGTAAAATTCTCTAAAGATGAAACGCGCTAATTGTTATTACTTCCAAATACAATTTGTGTATAGCTCATGCCATGTCTTAATCATGGAATATAGCTTTACAATCTCTAGTTATAAAGCTTGAGATAAACTCTGGATAAAAGGGTGATGTTGTGTGTGCAGACCTTTCCAAAACATTGGGGGAGAACAAGTTTTGCTCCATTGAGTTCCATCTGCAGCAAATGTAAATAATAGCCAACATTTTCTTTCCTTACAGATTCCCATAACTGTAGGTGTATTCCTGAATTCCTATTATGACGTGAAGTTTAACTTCCTTGGAATGGTGTTTGCTACCCTTGGTGTTCTAGTTACATCCCTTTATCAAGTGGTTAGTAACTTGTTCTTCTCTATGTGCATGTTTCATAACAAAAATAACTTTTTGACACCTTGTTTCAAATTTCGGAAAGTAATAGAGGCAGGCTAAGTGGTCTGGAAATAGTATGTCTTAAGTTAGTCGTGGTCTGTAAGTAGTAGGGAAGAGATTTCTGGTACTACATAGCTCTTTAGCAGAAAAGGTCATAACAAGATACAGTGGTTGGAAGCTGAAGCGCGACTAATTCAGACTAGAATTTTAAGGCACACATTTGTAACAGTGAGTGTAATAACCATTGGCACAACTTACTTAGTAATGTGGTAGAGTCTCGGTCACTTGAAGTCTTTAAATCAAAACTGGATAGCATTCTAAAAGATACGCTATCACTCAAACAGAAGTTATGGGCTTGAGGCAGGAATCACTAGGTGAGGTTCTATTGACTGTCAGGCTAGATGACGATGATGATGGGCTTTTTTGGCCTTAAAAATCTATGAGAAGAGGAGAATCAGGCAAAGTTACTGTGATGGTGCTACATTACATGTGTAGCAGAACTGCTAGTTGGCCTGTGGGTGAAATTCCATCCTGTGCTTTCTTAGAAAGCCCTTAAATAGAATTTAATGTAATTATAGTTATATTTTAATTTAGAACAGAGATTATTTCAGTATAGTAAGTTGTCTCTTATATAATGCTGCATTACTGACAGTAAATGCTGTTTATTAGCATTATTATAGTTAAGTGCAATAAAATATCAAATTAATGCCTTGAAAATAATTTGTCTAAGGGTTTTCATTTGTAACATTCATTTTACTAATCATAGATGCAAAGATAACAGTAGTTTTATTAAATTATACATGCTGAAAATCTCAGTTATAATCAATATCAAAATGAAGTTTAGTATATGTATAATTAAAGGAAGGAAAACCTTGGAATTATAAAAATGTTAGTCATGCTTATTAGCGTATATATCGTAATGCCAACTGAGGTGGGGGCATAGGGGAAGTAACAGCAGTTAGGAGTAGATTTTATTTAAACATACTTTAAAGTACTACTAGAATTTATTTTTTTGTGACTGTCTGTCATAATATGCAACAGTTGTGTAGAATATTCTTAAGGTATATTATGTACTTTTCAGTGGTTCTCAACCAGGGGGACGCAGAGGTTTTCCAGGGGGTACATCAACTCATTTAGATATTTGTCTAGTTTTACAACAGACTACATAAAAAACACTGGCAAAGTTAATAAAAACTAAAATTTCATACAGACAATGACTTTATACTGCTCTATATACTATACACTGAAATGTAAGTATAATATTTATATTCCAATTGATTTATTTTATAATTGTATGGTAAAAATGAGCAAGTAAGCATTTTTTTTCAGTAATAGTGTGCTGTGACACTTTGGTATTTTTATGCTTGATTTTGTAAGCAAGTAGTTTTTAAGTGAGGTGGGGTACCAAAGGCAAATCAGACTCCTGCAAGAGGTACAGTAATCTGCAAAGGTTGAGAGCCACTGGTTTAAAGAGCTGCCTAAAATATGCAGTTCAAATGTTGCGTGCTTTCACACACATTTGTGGTAATGGCATGCAAGTTAACTTGATGCAGTCGGCTATGACTTTAATAATCGTGCTCAGGCATCCCATAATAGTAGAAAGTTGAAAAGATAGGTAGTTTCTGTAATACTGCTTGCTCTTGTTGGGAGATGGTACTGAACCCTTACTAGGCTAGATCCAGAATTGGTGCGAGAATGAAAGGAGTCAGCTTTTTCCAACCCCCGCTATTTATCTGTCCTTACTCAAGTGGCAGACCCTCTCATAGAGTATGGGAGGAGACAAAGAATAGAGAGAAGATGAAGGGAAGAAGATTCAAGCATTACCCATCAGACATTGTAATGAAAAAGCTCTTTCAGCCAATTCTCTTCCTTCCTCATATGCCTGCACCCAGTGGCTTACCACTGTCTACTCAAAATAGGGCGGGAAGACTAACACACATGCATCTGGTTAAAATATTTGGTGTTCAGTAAATGGAAGTGGAAAACACAACAGTCATCCTATTTATTATGTAGTGCCGGCCATATGAGAGTCCCTTCTTATTAGTAACCAAATTCCTTTTATATGAGGACTTGATTTTCCTCATGTTTAACAACTTTATCTCTTGGTTTTAGTGGGTAGGAGCCAAGCAGCATGAGTTGCAGGTTAACTCTATGCAGTTGCTGTACTATCAGGCACCAATGTCCTCTGCCATGTTGTTGTGTATCGTACCCTTCTTTGAGCCAGTATTTGGAGAAGGGGGGATATTTGGACCCTGGACACTTTCTGCTGTGGTAAGATTTTATATTTTATTTTTTAAATTTAACACCAATGGCCTTATCACTTAATATAACAGCTTCACATACAATCATTGACAGTGAATGTGACGGGGGTTGTGGGGAAAGAGAATCAGTCCGTGCTCCCCTTAATTGTTTAAGCCCCACTGTGTGAGAGAGGAGTATCTCTGTCAACATGTTTGTCTGTGGCCTGATCTACGTTTAGGTCAAAATAGCTACAGCACTCGGGGGTGTGAAAATCCACACCCCTAAGAGCTGTAGCTACACCATCCTAAACCCAGCATAAATGTAGCTAGATTGATGGGTGACGGTTTCCCTCAACCTAGCTGTCAGGGAAGTGGAGTGACAGAAAAAACCCTTTTGTAGTCTGCATCTGTGCTATCAGGTTATGTCACTATAGTCCGTGTAGAGTAGAAGTGGCCTAAGAGTGTTCTCTCCTTATTCTTGTTTCTGGTTGGAGGGCATTTTAGTAACAGGAAAAAAGTAGACATTGGCTCCCTCTAAAGTTCAGGAATAAGCAACTTTTTAAACTTTTTATTTAGGAAGCTTTAGTTGCCATGTAAATATTAGAAACACAACAATCATTACAACAGTGAGCTTTTGTTTAGAATATAGTGTGTATATATGTAGTGATATAGTCATCAGATTTCTCTCTCTTACAGGGTGTTACTTTCATAATGAGCATCATTACAACATCTTTTACATGTCATTTTTAGTGATTTTATTAAATTCAGTAAAATCTCTGATTACACATTTAACAAACCAGACATATATCTATCAAATGTTAATATTAAAAAAAAAAAAATGGACAATTGTGCTGATTATTTGCAGGTGAAAGCACTTTGTCTGAGTACTGAGTAAACGGTAACCAAATATCTAAGTGTCTATTTGTCCTCTGTGTATTTTGCTGGGTACATAATTGGTGTGTTAATATTTCCATGACAGGCTCCCATGCTTTGTGAACCATTCCTCTAGAGTTGGACCATTTTTCTTTTTCCAACGAGAGGCTATCAGTAGCCTAGCAGCTACTAGGAGATGACAGATTAATTCTTCACTTCCTTTTGTGTGACCATTTCTGATAGGAAGCCCCAGCAGGATTAACAAAGGATCATTTGGTAATAAATATCCACCAGTGTTACTAGATACCTAATATTTTAAATATAGTGACAGATAACCCCCCAGATGAGCCACCAACTGTGAGTTCATATATAAATCAAATAATAAAGCACTCATCTAGAGTATCTAAAATAGATGAACAATGTAAGTCAAAAGCCAAAGAAATTAACCTTTCTATTACACACACACACACACACACACACACTTTACAAAATCCAGAAGCTTGTCCTAGTTTTTTTTAAAGTAAAATTATGTAAATGACCCTGGAGCCAGCAGTCGCTTTCCACTGTGGGAAAGATACAAATGCTTTCACTGGTCCCTGACGTCACTTCTGGCGGAGGAGTGCTGGTAGTGGTTACTTTCTGCAGTCAGTAGCTGCTTTGTACTGGGAGGGCTCTAATCTCCTTCTTCATCCTCATCTTCTTGATGTCCCTCAAGAGGATCAGGGCTCAAATATATATTCATTACATACTGTTGTATAAGGCGGAAGGTACCTTTAGTTTAGAAAGTGCCAGTTACCCAGTTAGTGATATGTCAGGCAATGATTGATGCAAGATCTCTCTCTAGTGGTACTGAAATCAGTGACTGGAATAATGAATCATCACAAAGATGGGACAGATATCTCGTAATTATTTCTGTAACCTTAACTAAGTTTTGCATCTAAAAGCTGTGATCTCTTAAATATGGTTATGGAACATCATTTTTGTGAGAGAGCAGTTGAGTATCTGGGGCCATTTCTCAGACATGGCAAGTAAAGAGAAAGAAGATACGCATTTTGTAGCACAATTCACCTTTTGAAACCGTGTTCTAAGCAACTTAAATTGTCAGTGTCTACATTAAATTAGAACTCATGTTTGCCTTTTTTTTGTTCTGTTTGCTCTCTTCTGTTGTGTGATATCTTACTGATTTGCAGTTGACAGTAAAGAAACCTGATTAAACAATTTGGGGTGTAACTAGAGATGGTCAGAAATATATGTTAGATTACTGACTGTGTCCATTAATCCACAGTTAATGGTGCTGCTGTCTGGTATAATAGCCTTTATGGTAAACTTGTCCATTTACTGGATCATTGGAAACACATCACCTGTCACGTATCCTTTTTATTATTGGCCACTCCCATTGTTTTCAGATGAATGGCAGTATTCAGTCAAGTATATTTCACAATGAAAAAAGCCCACTGGACAAATAGGCTGGTAATTTACCTGCTTTATTGTGAATGTTAAAACTGGAAAAACACAATCCAGTTGTTAATTATAATTGCACAGATAAAATTGAAAGGTTGTGTGAATAGAAATGGATGTGAATGACCGTAGTCCATTTTGGGGATGGATAGTGAATCTCTTATGCGTTCATATGTTTATTTTTAATATTTTGACTGTTTGTTGTGATCCTTAACAGAGATGTGTAGATATAATATGTTTGGACACTTCAAGTTCTGCATCACTCTATTGGGAGGGTACCTGCTGTTTAAAGATCCACTGTCACTTAATCAAGTCCTTGGGATTTTGTGTACTTTGTTAGGCATTTTAGCTTATACCCATTTCAAACTTAGTGAGCAGGAAGGGAGTAAGAGTAAACTGGTTCAGCGTCCATAAATCAAGATATTCTGGAGATGATAAACCTTCAAAGGGAAGGAAAACCAATATTAAATATGCACTGATTGTAGAACGGGCAAAATAGCTGAAATAAAATTTGGATTAATATCACCGCCAGGATCATCATGCTGAAATAAAATAAAATGAATCATTACATAAAACATATTTTCCATCTTAGTCCAGCCTATATTTAAATAGTAACATTTAAAAAAAAGATCAAGTGGTCTAAGTCAAATTAGAATGGAAATTCTATAGAAGTGATTATGACTTTCACACTGAAATGAAATGAGCTTATCTTGGTTAATGTTACAGTAAATGCTGAAGGAATTAATTTTGCCCTTTGTGATATCATGCCAGTGTTACTATTGTAAAGAATCTTGTTCAGGACACTTGTATGCAGATATTCTGGTACATGACAGCACATGCTTCCTGTTTGTCTGGTAGATGAAAAGGCAAATTGCTTTTTTGTTTGGTTTTTTAAAAAGCTGTCAAACATCATTCTGATTCCGACATGCTTGTTTGCGTGTTTGGTAACGACCTGAATAACTTTCAGTAGAAGGGATCAGATACAATTATTAGTGGAGTGGAGACTCAGGCAACCGATCTAACTAGTTATCAATTTGAACCAAAACCGAACACCCCAAACTTTGGGAAAGTTGGAAACCAGCTCTGAACTTTGCAGCTCAAATTCATCTGTGGATCTGCCAGGAAATTTAGTAAGTCACTAGTGTTTTGGAAAATGTTCTGTTTCTGCTTCATGATTTTCTAGTGTCAAAAACGGACTTTCACAAGACTTTTTGAACCTTTGTGGGCTTAGTAAACCTACATAGCTTGCTTTAATTGCCAAATGAAAATGGTTTTGCAAGTGAGAACACAAACACCCACCTGTTTGGGGCAGCAGATAAACTATGCCAAGACTCGGTCCAAAGTAAGTTAAAAAAACTAAGTAGGTGGGATGTGGGAGTTGAACCTCCTGTTGTTCTAATCCGTTCCCTAATGTGTGCGTGCACTTCCCTCATGCCCTCTGCCCTGTAGTTCACTCAAAATGGCAAGGTGCATCCTATATTCACAGGTTCCACTGTTGTTACTGTTTGTATAGGGAAAGGCCAATGGGTTGCTGAGAAATTTAATCTCTGTCATGCTGCCCATAATATGCTGGAAAGACAATCTCTTCAGGGGAATCTGCAGCAGATGATGACCTTGGGATGGGCACAGGTTCCGCTGTAAATTGTGGGTGCTTTGAAGATTACCTTGGGCCAGAGCCGTGCATAGTTTTTTGGCCATTTGGAAAGGCAGTTTTGAGGGCCATGTTGTAGAAAATGGAAAGTTACGTCAGTTTTCCTGCTTTCAGTAAACGTGGTAGAAACATACGTTTGCCAGATTGGCAAGTGATTAGAATTTATTTGCATTACTTCACTGGCATTTTGTTGGTTTATCTTCATTTATTTATAGTCGCTTTAAAGAGGAAAATCATGTGAACAGAAACGTGTTTTAGGTTTTACAGCCACCAACATAATGGTTGGGTAGTTAGTTCTTAGCTTTTTTTACAGGTTAAATGATCAGAAACCTTAATGCTATGTTAATGTGCAAGAAGCAATCTCAATCAAGTTATTTTTACAATGAGGCCTGTTTTCAGGCTTGTACATTGTTCCGTTTCTGGAGTTTGATTTTTAAAAACAATTTCTCTTGTGTAGCTTAAATTTACATCAGATTACTCTGTATTGTTTCAGTATTCTAAACAGCTGATATCTTTATCACTGGTATCTGAGGCATTGTACAGGTGCAAGAAAAATTTCTTTTGTATACATTTTTATAAATCTATAATTTGTTAGAATTTAAAGACAAATACAGACTGCTGAGAAATATGTGCAGAACAGTGCAGTCTTTAGGTGCATATTCTTGAGTACGTGCACTGAGAGAACATTTTGCATTGATTTGTGCTGTGCACAAGCTCTTCTAAAATGTAAATACACCATGAGGACGTTCTTAGGGTTAGAAATAAGATGCCTGAAAAGCCTGTGTGATGACAAAATCAGAGATGGGATTGATGTATATAACAAGAAAACTGAATAAAAATGTATGATGCAAATGCTTTTCACCACAGCATCTGATCTTCAGAATGGCAAAAGAAAATTAAGAAAGTAATTCAAAAGCATTGGCGACTGAAAAGGATACATTATAAAATATAGTCTGTTGCTGGAAAATGTACAAGTCCTGTAGGTCACTGAAGTGACTGGATTTTTTTCATATATTTAACAGTTCTACTTTGGGTTTTACCTAGTATGACTGATGAATAAAATAATTCCTGAACTTCTCTCTTGTCTGTCTTTGTCAAATGTTTCAAAATATTAAACAGGGAAGACTTGTGTAATCCTGGGCTAAATAGATTCCTTGATACATAGTTAGGGAGGACACTAAATTTAATTACGTGACCTGTACTGCACCTCTAGCTATTGTTACGTTTTTGAGAAGAGGGGTAGCTGGATTTTTTTCTGATTGAATTGACTGCATTTTTAATGAAATGTCCGGGGCATCTACAATATAAGACAAGCACCACTTGTTGTTTTATAAACTTAATATACATGCTCGAGGTGTCACACTTCATTGCTTCTGTGGGGCAATCTCACTGCATTCAGAGGCTCCTGGAATCCATTCCCCCACACCCAGACTTCCCATGTGCCACTTTCTCATCCCTTTATTTCAGGGACTCACTGCAACCCCACCCTTACATGAAGGGCTCTCTCTGCCCCCCTCTCCCCATTAGCCTCTTCTCCCTCCATTCCCCTTTCTCCACATAAATGTCCCTCATTCTCCACTACTTGTCAGGGCTCTGTGCTCCCATGTCCCTCTCCTATCATTTTATTGTCCCACCCTTGTCAGGGACTGTGCGCCCCTTATCCTCCCTGCTACCCTTCCATTACTACTTTTCTCTCTTTCTGGGAGATAAATAATTCTGGGTGTCCGCCTTTGGAACTGGAGTGGGAAGGTGGGCAGAACTGAGATGGGGGACTTAATATACTGGAAGATGTTAATAGCAGCCATCAACAGGTTCTTTGAGCTCTTGACAGTTGAAGGCCAATGAGCTGTAAGAAGCTCCATGTGTCCCCCACTTTTCCACCTTCTGGTTTTCACCAAAATGAAGAGTTTTGCCCACTTATGCCTAGATACAGCATTCCCTGAAATTTTGGAATTGACTGACCACAGCATTTAAAAGGTTTTGTGTTAGATCCAAACAACGAACGGCTGTTGTGTCGAACATGGGGCCTCATTTCATTCAGCCAATTATGGTTCTGACCTCGGATGAGTTACAGGAGGGAAGTGCCTCATTTTCCCCATCTGTAAAATGGAGATAACAATCAAGACCTCCTTTGTAAAACGCTTTAAGATCTACTAATGAAAATTGCTGTGTAAGAGCTGGATATTAAGCACTTTTGTATCCAAATCAGACCAGGAAAATTACACTATTTTAGGATCCAGTCCTATTACCCTGACTCTCTCAATCTCCTCTGAGGTCACTGGACAACTCATAACTAAAACAAACAGGATTACTTTTAAACTGTAATTACAGGAGAGGGAGAGGCATATACAAAAAAAAATCCCTAGAAAATACAGGTCTTTGTTCCTTTTTCTAAACTATTTGGATTTGGTGGATCTGGCTTGTTTCCTCATTTGTGTGTGTGTGTATATATATAATACACACATACACATATATTTATGAATGTTCTCTATGCTGACAGTAAAACAATAAAACTTGTAGCCAAACTCTGCAATCCTGAGGGAAAAGCAATAATAGCATCTTTTGCCACACATACTGAAAGGGTTTCTTACAAATTAATGCTCTTTCTGCCAAATGCTTGTTCATTAGGAAAGTAACTGGTTCTAATGCATTCAAATGTTGTTTTAATACTTTATTCCTGCTAATTGCCTGTATTTAAGATTCTAAGTCATCTTGCTTTTCATTAACAGTAAACCAGAGAATTAGAATTTTTTTTAATATTTTTTAATACATTGTGTGTGTGTTAATTGGCCAGCTTCAGTCTTTGGTGTTCCCTTGTGACAAAATTAAGCACCACAGCAAGCCTTGCTGTTGAGCTTGCTTATTGGCCCTCTGCCCATGACCTCAGCCCTCCAGCTGGGTTGGTGGTAGTCCTTTTCCCTTTCAGAGTGCTACAAAGTCCAATGTCTCAGGTCAGTTGCCCTAGCTTGAGGGCATGAAGACCCAGGCCTCCTTGAGTGTGGCCCATTTGCTCAGTCCCTTAAGAAGCCCTGTTGGTAGAGGAACCCAAGCCCACCCACTCCGTGTGTTCCAGGCCAGGGCTTTGTATAAAGTGGCTGTCATCAATCTCTCCCACCCTTTACTGTTGTCCTGGCCTGCTTCTTACTGTGCTTCACCTTTATACACAGACTATACAGACATTTTTTGTAGCAACTGGGAAACACTGAAATAACATTGATAAAACCTCTGCATGTTTGGCAGCATTTGTACTTGCTGATCTTGTAGGACTTGATAAACTATGGCAAGGGTTGGGAGCACTGTGCCGAGGGAGCTTTTTCTGCTGATAGTAAACAGTTCCTTGTCAGCCTGGAGGCTGAAGGGATGTACTTCGCTGCTGTTCAGTGTATGAAAAGGGGGGTTGTTTTTGGTAGTCTACCTTCAAGACAGAGCTTCTATTCAGCAGGAATTTATCCTGCCTCTGTCTGCTCACTCCAAATGAATGCACACTGGTAGCACAAGACCAAAGGAACACTGAGGCCTTATTCAGTCTGCCTGTAGTTTTATTAAATTTCTCTGAAATAGTCGTGGGCAGGTAGATCACTCTTGATAAGGGGTTTACTCTACAGGAAGGACAGGAAAAAAAAATTTCTGTTTAGCTAGGAAATATTTGTAAAGCTCTAATGATAAAAATCACTGAATTCATAGTGACTTATGTAGGAGCTGCAGAAATATTCAATATTTCAATATTTAAAGCATATTGAAGTACAACTTAGTTCTAACTAAGAACTTGTTTAGCACATCTGTTCTCATAAAACCTACTGGCAATAAACCCTCTCCACCCAACATCTGTCTTTTTTAACTGTGCTGTGTCTGTTTATGCGCTTGGGTTGTAAATGATCAGAGTTTTTGTTCTTGATTAATATGTTATAATGTACTGTGTACAGCTGTGGCACTGTCCAGTTAGTAGTAGTACTTTTGACAACAATATAGACAGACGCTAGTGAAGCTTGTCAGCATGTTTGGGAGGACAGAAAGGAGGCAAGCTAAGGCTCTCATTTTAAGCACTGAAAGGAGGGGGCCTTTTAATTCAGTGTTGTTCAAGTCAAACTTAGGATTGCATTACTGACGTTAATAGAGAACCTAACGAGACAGGAGGCTGAAACATTGTTCTTCAGCAGATTGTGACCTTTCATGAGGCAGTCATTATCCAAGAGTACTGTCCTGCTCCCACTGAAATCACTAGGTGCTTTGCCAGGGATTTTACTGGGAGCAGAATTACAGCTTACATTTGTCAGGGTTTTTTAAAATTTACCGATCAGAACATTCCCCCACTCTCTGCCTTTCTAGTGAAAGAGAAGGGGGAAAAAATGCTAAGTAAACAAAATGAGGGCTGGAGATAATGTGAATGTTGGTTTCCACAGCAGACACATTTTCTCTCTCATGAGTGTAAAGATCCAATTCTGTCTTTTTCTATGGTAAGTGACAAAAACTAGGTTAATGCAGAATTAAGGTTTCCTGATGACAGCTCGTGCTCTTCCAGAATGTTGAGTTCAGCAAAACTCAAACTTCAGAAAACCAGGAAATCAAGCGTTAAGGTACATGCCCATGTAAGCCCCAAGAGCAGACACTAGGAACTGGGAATTATCCACATGCAACTGCATTCCGTGTGTGAGTTGTAGCTGTATTGAATGGCAAAGGTAATAGATGGGGCAGGTTG